GGCGGACAGGTCTGCTCGGCGGACAGGTCTGCTCGGCGTCCGGCTCCCTTCCTGGGGAATTCCCCCCCCCCCCCCCCCCGCCAGCTCCGCTTTGGGTGGGGGGGTATTTGAGCCATGGGGAAGGGAAGGGAACAAGACAATTTACCAATTCAATTTCATTATTTAAAATAAATCCGTTCCAGTTTCCTTTTGCATCCTTCCTTTAATGCAGGGGTCCCCTCAAACTGTAAGACTGGTGGACTTCAACTCCCAGAATTCCCCAGCCAGCATCCTTTAAGACTGGTGGACTTCAACTCCCAGAATTCTTCAGCCAGCAGTTCCTGTCGGCAGAGCTGCCGGGCGAATTCTGGGAGTTGAAGTCCACCAGCCTTACAGTTTGAGGGGACCCCTGCTTTAATAGTTCTACCCCAGCGTTTCCTGGGTGTTCGTGTAACTCTTGCCTCGCGGCGTCTAGGCCGTGGCCGGTTGTCTCGGCTCCAGTTCGGGAGGCAGAGCGGCTCTCCCGCCGCTCTCCTGAACCAGCAGGATGGGCCGCCTTCCCTCCACCGCAGACTGAACGGCGCCCCATCAAACACACCCCGTCGGGCCCCGCACGTGCGCGCCCCTCGGCCGCCCGCACGTGACGGGCAGGCCCCGCCCACCGCCGAACAGCCGCGCGGCCCCTCCCTCCCTCCTTTCCCAGAAGCCCCCTCCCCCCCCCTCACCGCTTCTTCTCCTCCTCCTCCAGGCTGGGCCTCCCGACGAGGGAGACGGGAAGGGCGGCGTTCGCTTCAGGGCCCGCGGCCCGGCCTAGCGCTCGCTCGCTCGCAGCGGCGCCTCTTGCGACGGAGAGTCTGAGGGCGGCGGTGGCGGCTCCGCCACCACGATACCCGCCTCAGCCGCTCGAGGGGTCGCGACGGAGGGGGGGGCGGCGGCAGCGGCGAAACTGCGTCATACACGCACGCTCGACGCTCATCCGCGCGGGACGTCAGGGCGGCGAGGCTTCCGATTGGCTGCCTTCTCCCCGGGAGCTCCCATTGGCGCTCCGTTTCCCCGACGTCGGCGCCTCGCGCTGGCTTTCTATTGGTCGGGCCCTAAGCCCTCCCCCAAACGTCGCCCTGTCTCCAATCCGCCGCGCCGTCCCTCCTGACGTCCGTCGCCACAGAGCGCCCTGGGACGCTTCGATTGGCTGGGGAGCGGAGCGCCCTGTTGCTGGGGTGGGGGGGACGGCGTCTCAGGGCGTCCGGTGGAAGTGGGCGGGGCCTAAGCGGGTGCGCTTCGTTCCCATAGCAGCCGGGAGGACGAGGAGGCGGGGCCGGAAGCGGCCGTCGGAGGAGGCGCCTGGGAACTACGCTTCCCGGCATCCCCGGGCGGTGCAGCGGCGGTCGAGGCTGCCGGGATCCGTAGTGCGGAGGAAGCGAGCGGGATGTTGCCGGTGGCGCTGCCGTTGGAGCGCGAGCGGGACGGGGCGCTGCTGCGGCTGCGCTTCACCTGGCTGGCGGCCGGGACGGTGGGCTGCCCGCTGGGCGGCTTCCTCTTCTGCCTGGCCTGGTCGCTGCTCTTCCACTTCCATGAGGCCACCGCCACCCACTGCGGGGTCAGTCACGGGGGCCGCGGGGGGGGAGGGAGGGGAGGAGAGACCCCCCCCCGCTGAGCCCCCCCTCTCCTCCCCCCCCTCCTCCTCAGGTGCCGAACTACCTGCCGTCTCTGAGCGCCGCCATCGGAGCCGCCACCCCGGAGCGCTACGTCTGGCGCCTCTGCATCGGCCTCCACTCGGCGCCGCGGCTGCTGGTGGCCTCGGCCTACTGGCGCCACTACCGCGGCTGCCCCTGCCTTCACCCGCGCTACTCGCGCCTCTGCCACGCCGTCCTGGCCCTGTCGCTGGCCGAGAACCTGGGCCTCCTCCTGCTCACCTACGTCTCCTCCGCCGAGAACCACGGTAGGTGGGGGAGGGGAGGGAGGGGAGCGCGACCCTTGACCTCCCCTCCCCGTCTCTCCCCCCCTCCATGCCCTCTGTCAACCCCCCCCCTGCCCTCGGCCCCCTGCCCCCCCCCCCCCCTCCCCCCCCCCCCCCCTGCCCCTCGGCAACCCCCCCCCCTGCCCTCGGCCCCCTGCCCCCCCCCCATATATGCACACTG